CTGGAAGGTGGAGCCCAAGATTTCCTCCAAGGCTTTGGCACTCTCAGCTTGTTTTCCGAGTCCCCATGTTCTGTATATTTACAGCAGAGAACCTGCAGAGCTACAGGAGCTCAACAAAGAGACCTCCTTAGCAGCTGGGGTACACCTCAGTGTAAGGAGTTGGAGAGCTGAAAGGCAGATTTGTTACCACACAGTGTTCCCTGGGAAGCTGGAAATCAATTGTATCGGGGTGTGCCTTTGAATCAGACAGCAGCGATCATTTCACCAAATGTGTTTGCCTCACTAAGCACTACCAGTCCAGGATAAAGTTTCTAAAGGACACTCTGTTGTCCACCAATAGAGGAGAGTCCCTCGATGTCTGCACTAAATCACCAGGAAAACAAGCTAAGCCTCAAATCCTTATTACATGGAAGGGTAGAGCTCATTTCCAGATGAGTTTTGTGTCCTTTCTTTCCTTCCATGGTCATTCCTTTATTTTCTTTTTCAACTTGGGTCCCAGTTTTAGCTCTAGATTTTGATAGAGACCAATTGCATCTGATTTTCATGGGGATGACACGTCTGCAAGTCATCTTACAGGTAGTGTGGGATCTTGGGGCAGATCTGTGAAGCTGTGGTTTTTGGCTCTTCTAAACCCACGGTCTTGGGCTTTCCATGTACAGGGCATTCCAGAGCAGCAGGACAGGCTTCCAGTGATAGAGGTGAACTTTCCAGCATTTTTTGGCATTAGCTGTAGAGAACATTCAGGGGCTCTGCATACATCTGCAAGCAAAGCTAGAGCAGCTGCTGTTGTGATGTCACTGCAACCGTTGTCCTGGTGCACGGACCGTTGTCCTGGTGCATGGAATGTTGTCCTGGTGCACGGACCGTTGTCCTCATGCATGGAGTGTTGAGCTGGTGCACGGACCATTGTCCTCGTGCACGGGAGCCTTCGTGTGCACAGCTTGTTTGGCGTGCTCGTTGCAGGAGGGTGCTCTTCATCGAGGCACTCACCTCCAGCAGGCTGCACTTGGACACCAGGGGTGTCCTTTTCTCCCTCGGCGTGCACAGGCTGCGGAATTCTTGCCCAGCATGGCTAAAGTGTTCCGGCGAGTCTGTGCCGCCTTTTGCCGGGTTTTTCCTATGGCCTGTGCTTTTGGTTCCCGCCCAGACAAACCCGGGCTGCTGACCCATCTAGCAAGTAAGTAGAGGTTTTTTCTAGGTGCAGCCAACCTGGCTTTTGGATCGATGTGTTGTTTATGCTGCCCCTTAGTGACTGCGTTGCCTTTGCAACCAAAATGCCCCGCAGATCCCATGACTTTGGTAAAGCTCATGTCAGGGGCATCAGCTCCAGAGGGGGTGTCTCCAGTCATTCCAGGGGCTCTGGGCAGCATTTGTAATTGAACCCACAGGGTTCTGTTCCCTACGCGGGCTAGTCCGTGGCACTGGAGTCTGTAATTTCCTCATTTGCTGCTTCAGCCCATACAACTTCCCAAATGCAGATTGGCAGAGCTCCTCAGAAGTGCCTCTAAAGACTGTGCAGTTCTCTCCAGTTTTTCCCTAAATTGCATCATTAATAGGTTGGACGGTGTGACCTGCCACAATGTTTGCTCAAATAGCTCTTGCTTTGGTGATGAAATGCAAAGTTGAAGGCAGTGTGTGCTCCCAAACTTGGGAGCTGTTTGTGTGCTGTGTCAGAATAGAAGTGTCATGACTAAGGGGAAGTTGGGGGCAGCTTTATTGGGGAAAAGGAAAGCAAAGAAGAGAAAGGAAGAGAAAAAGGAAAAGAGAAAGGAAGAGAAAAAGGAAAAGAGAAAGGAAGAGAAAAAGGAAAAGAAAAAGGAAAGGAAGAAAGGGAGGGGGAAGGGGCAGGTCAGGGGATAGGGAAGGGGGTGGGGCAAGGTTGTAAGGGGTGGGGCGAGGGGCAGGGGGGAGGGGCGGGGGGAGGGACGGGGTGAAGGATGGGGCAAAGGGCGGGGCAAAGGGCAGGGTGAGGCGGGGCAAGGCGGGGCAGGGTGGGG